GCGAGCCGAAAGGAAAGTTTACCTAGATGTCGAGCAGGGGGAACGAACAAAGAGTAATACGGGCAACGGTGGACCTTGCACCGTTCTGAATATGCATAACGAGCCCGAGTTCCGATCGCAATCCCCCACGAACGGTGTCAGGTACTCTTGACCCGGGGACAGTTTTGTCATGGTAATGCGTCTACTTTGTATTTTAATGGTCGGAAAGAGATTATGCGGAGTAAACACGGCCCGCAGGCCGCTACGCTTCGCGTTAACGATTCAAAGACGGTCGCGCGACGATCTGCGAGCCGATTTTTTCTTCGGCGCTCGTCGAATCGAACGCCGGCCGTCCGTTCTTCTCGCGCCAGCTCTTCAGGCCGACTCGAGAACCGACCGACGCTCGAGTCCGATCGAGGAAGAACGTCGAGGCGTTACGCGCCGCGATATTAATTGTCACTCGCGCCGAAAGTCGTCCGGCGTCGCGAAACGGTCTTACTTCGAGGGCGTCCCGAGGGATCGAATCGATTTGTCGCGACGATTCTCTCGCGTAACCGAACGATGCCCGTTTCCGTTCCATCGCCTCGGTGCCCGCGAGTCTCGAGGTCGTTCTTTGCTCGCGTGCGGAGCGAAAGGGATCGAATCACAGGCGGAAACGAATTTCGGTTATTGGCGAGTCCCGTCGGAGGTATCATAGGGGAAATAGAGAAGGTGGCTGGTTTCCGACGGAAAGAATCGGGAATCGAGCGGTGCTCGGATTACTAATCATTTCCCCGGTCCGAGAAACTTCGCTAATTGATTAAAGTCACGATCCTGACCCTGCCGTAATATCGGCAATCTCTTCCCGGCGCACGCTGGGGAGGAAGGTAGTCATCGGGGACCGAGAAAAATGCTTAGACGAGAGAGAGGAGATAGGCAGAGATGGGGAGGAAGAGCGCGAGATAAACGAGGAAAGAGACAAAAGAGTAGGTAGAGGTTGCGCGCGTTGTACGTTATACTTTCTCTCTCGGTCTCTCCGGCTCTCTTCCTCTGCGGATCGCTCTCTCGTTTCCTCGCTACCTCCCTTCCACCGTGTGTTGACCCCGCGTAATTTTTACCATCTTGCTCGGTCTCGGCTCCTCTCTCGTCCCTTTTTACATTCTCCCGCTGTCCTGTTTGTCGTTTTGCTTCGGTTCGGCTGCCCCGAACGTTCGTTCGAGCAGGCCGGCTATCCGCCTTCGTCGTCCTCCTATTGTTGGATCGCTCCAACCCCGGCAAGGGAAACAATGTCTAATTTCAGTTAATGCGGCCATAATGGCCGTCGTGGTTGCATCGCCGGCACCGTGCCGCGCTCTACGTTTTCGACGGCCACGACGACGAGAGCCCAACAACAAGTGGAGTTCGTCTTGGAGCCGGCGCGTCCGTTCCGGCTCCTTTTCCGAAAGAGTCGGCACGCCACCGGGCAGCCGAGGAGAATTCCCGAAGGAAATCGTTCGCGGAATGTATCGTTTCGAATTTCTCGATTTCACGGTTCGATCGTTTTCCCGCGATACCGAGGGCCGCTCGAGTCGGCGGAGTTTCGCAGAGGCAGCGCCGATCGACGGGAAAGATTTCGAAAAGGCGTCGATGCTGTCGTCGTCGTCGTCGTCGTCCGCCTCGTCGACGTGGTCGTCGTCGTCGTCGTCGTCGTCCGGCATTCGCAATTAAGGGTTAATTAAATTGAGCGGCTTCCTAGATTTCTGTAATCATCGCGGACAGTATCTACGGGGTAATCTTGAGCGCATCCTGTCTGCCTCAGGGGCCCCACGGAAGGAAGGGGCCCCCGAGGTAAGGTCATGCACCCCGCTGACCTCGGACCACCGACTCGTCTCCTCTTGCCCCGCGTAACTCCTTCCCCTTCTGCTCTCTTCTAGCCCCCTACCAAGACGGTTCACCTCGCTCCGCTCCCCATCCCTCAGCAGGCTTCGCGATCCTCAGCCGAGCGTCCTTCTTGCCTTTAACGTTCCTTCTCTTTACTCGTTCTTTTCCTTCTACCGTTGCTCATCCACTTCGTCCTCTCGTTCTCGTCTTGAGCCTAGCATCAGCCACGACCTCGGTGCATACAGGCATCGGCGCGGGGTTCGACTCGGTTTCGTCTCCGTTTCGCGTTCGTCTCTCCTCTTATCCGTGCGTCGCTCGCTTATCCGCTTCCTCTTCTCGTCCTCGTCGCTCCGCTCGCCTCGCCGTGCGATCGTCGAGCACCGTGGCCCGTTCGACGCCGAGGCGAGCCCTTCCAGCGAAACCGATTTCGAATCGTTCCTCGCTCCGAGTCCTCTCGTTCCCCTCTGCCCGAAAGTTCCCATCCTCGGCCGGCGAGCGGCTCGTATCGGCGATTTCTCCCGGTCCGCTCGAGGGAAGGCTCGCCCGCTCCGGGGCAACGGGGACAAAGTTGCGTGCCCCGCGCGAGCGAACGCGTTCAATTATTCTCAAAAGTCGAGACATCATCCCGTATAATAAGCGGACGTGCCCGCGACGGGGCAGCAAACGGGAGCAGTCTTCTCGTGGGAAAAACGCGACGAGGTCGGCGGCGCGCGCGCGCGTGGAAAAAAATGCTCGACGCCCCGCATTCCGAATTCTCCTTCGGCCGAAGACGGACTCGATCGGTCGAATTGTGTATACGCTCACCCCGCGGTGTCCTGCGTCTCGCGTCCTGCGTCCGCCGAGTTTCTCTCGGCCGCGCTCCTTGACCGTTCGTGTCGATGACCGTCTCGCTAGCGTTCGCCTCGAACAAGGTCAGATGCTATCTAGCCGCGCGATACGGAGGGGGAGGGGAAGAGGAACGGAGAGAGAAAGGGGCAGATAGAACGGGAAAGAGCACGGAAGACGAAAGTCGGGGCGACGCGGCGCGGCGCGGCCGGACGGCGCTCGGATACGTGGGAAAATCGGAGAGGATCGACCGCTTTCCGCGGGACCGCCGAGCGGATGAACCGCAGCCGCGAGCCGACGGGCCACTCGGGAAAGTCGAGTCGTGAAATCGAGGAATCGGGGAATCGGGGGATCGCGCCGGAGCCTCGGACGGACGGAAACAAGTACACCTGGGCCGAGCGCGCGTCGGTGACCAGCTCGTGCGTGCTCCAACAAGGTCAGATGTTATCGCGCCGCGAACAGCCAAGTTCAAGAGGAGAAAAAGGAACGAATCTCGGAAGGGGAGTGGCGTGGGAACCTTCCCGGAGTTTTCGCGGACCGTGCGCCGCCGGTGTTCCCGCGGCCATCCTGAAATCGAGAACCGGCTGCTACTCGGAAGAAGACTCGCGAGATTCGGCGAGCCTCGACTCGCGCGATCGGCTCCTGCGCGAGGCGCGTCCTTTCGCGTTTCGCGTCCTGAAGATCGAGCGCGACGAAGATCGAGCGTATCGATAACGGGCCGCCGCTCGGGAAGAGACGTCCGGAGGAACTCGAGCACGACCGAAACGAGAACGCGTTCGGATATAAATACGCGGTCTTGTCTCGCGTTAGCCGCGGCGAGTTCCGAGGATGCTCTCGCGGCGGCGGCGGCGGCGATCGCTCGGCGAATCCATTGGGAGCAAATCGAAGCGAATCGAAGCAAATCGAAGCTAATCGAACCGTTTCCGCCTCGGCGAACTTTAACCTTACGCTACTCGGCGCGCCGATTCCCGGCCGTTCCTCTATTTTAAAGCGGCGTGGATCCGCGGCGGAATCGCGGCGGTGACCGGTGCGAGCGGCGACGAGCGCCGTCGACGTTTCCGCGAGCGATGTGATTCGGTACCTACCTTCCCGTCGCATGCCCATCTTCAGGCACTTTTTCAATCGACAAAACTGGCACTGATTCCTATGGTGTTGGTCGATGGGACAGTTCCTATTCCCCCGACACGAGTACGTTAGGTTTCTCCTGACGCTTCTCTTGAAGAAGCTTTTGCATCCTAAAAAGAGGCAAAGTTACAAGTTAAAAATCTCGTATCCTTTTCGTCCCGTCACCTCTCCTCTTGCTCGGTCGAATCGGAATATTCTTTGCGATCGCATCGGCGAACACCGGACGTACGGGTTTCACGAGATAAACGAACAAGCAACGATCACCGCTCACGAGAACCTTCGTAACCGATCTACATGAGAAACTGGCGAATATCTAGATTCGGAGTTCTTTGGCGAATTTTATCGTCTATGACGACGACGACGACGATGAGCACAGAAAAGAGGAGACACCTCCCAGAACTCTCCTTTCCAAGCCACCGTTGAGATCCAAGGGAACGAGATTCATTCGCCGAAACGAAAACGATCGACGAAACGTGACGCAAAGCGTATTACGTGAAACGGATTAACCGGCGATTCGTACCATGACCGTGACAACAATGCTCCGGCTGTATGGAAACCTTGAACCGGACTCTCGAGCAGAACTCTTCCGACGTTCGAACGGGAATCGGGAATTATCGACGTCGTGGAGAATGGGAATCGTTATCGACGTCCACCGAGAGGATCGGGGTGCGATTCCTTCGACGGAAGTACATTAACGTCGTGCAGAGGAGAGAGAGAGGTTGAGACAATTTCGGGGCAGACAACGTTAGATTTCTCTACTAGTGTGCTTTAGATTGCGAGAACTAACGCGTGCCAAGTTGCGGCGAGTCGAACGCAAAGGTGAAAGTATCGAGACGAAAGAGCGTGTCCGCTCGAAAAATTCGTTGCGTCGAGTTTGACCGGATCGCGTCAAAGACGCGCGACCGAGGTTGCGCAGCCATCTTAGCGCTCGGTTTTCTATTCGGTACTGGCTGTAACCGTGCTCGTGTTCGTCTTTGTCTTTGTTTTCGTCGGTGCAGTCGTGGTGGTCGTGTTCGCGTTCGTCGCGGCAGT